AAAATAAAAACATTATTTTTCCGCCATCTTTGTACCGCAATATCTCCCTAATGGTTGACTTTTGACCCAACGTTTATGAAGCAAACTACCCTTTATTTTGAACAAGGAATCACCCCCTGAAGTTTTTCGCATTTGTTTTGAAACACCCTGTATATACAAATCAGTTCATAACGTTCTTCGTCGTCTTCTGGTATCCAGTCTCCTTTGGTTTCTGTCCAGAGGTTTTCGTCTATTCCTCTTGTTCTGATGTCCCCGTCTATTCCTTCTCTCCAACTCCGTCTAGGCCTCCCTCTCTTTCTTTTGTCCTGTGTCCAATTGAGTATTTTCTTTGGGATTCTGCTGTCTTCCATTCTTTGAACGTGCCCGTACCACCTGAGTTGGTTAATTTTGATGTCTTCCATTATTCTGTGTTTAACGCCCATGATGTTCTGAATTCTTTCATTTCTTACTCTATCCAGATTCAATTTCACAGACGCGCGCCTTCAAAAGTCCATTTCTGTAGCTTCGAGTAACTTAAGTTTTTTTTTCTTTCAAAGACCATACTTCACTACCATAACGATGATGCTTTTAATTATGCTGTTATAAATTTTGTGTTTGTTTTGTTTTGATACTGCCTTATCCCATAAAATACTGTTGAGTTGTCTAATTTCTTGTCTTCCCTGGTTGTTTCTGCACTTAATTTCTTCATCAAGACTACCATCGTTGCTAATGTGCCTGCAAAGATATTTATATTTTTGGCAGTGCTTTATAACTAAATTACTTTTTTAATTAATTTAAATCGAATATCAGCTGAAGATTTTAAAAAGCTACTATAGCCAGTGGGAACAAAAAGAGGCTATACCAACTAAAAAAAACTTAATGTAACATTGTTTTTTTTTGTGCAATGCGCGAGAGTGACCCTAATAAACATTGGAATAACAACTAAACAAGCAACACACTAAATTTCTTTATTTGTTTTTTTTTTCTCATTTCTAATTTAAAATTATAGTTTTATATTTAGCCGCCAAAATAGAACAAACATTATTCTTAATTTCCTAAATTTTGTAAAATATTAGCAATGTTAATACTTTCATCACTAGGCTACTCCATATTTTAAAATCAATAAGATTTACTGGCAACTTCTTCTTCTTCTTGCAGTGCCATACTCTATACAGAGCGTCGGCTACCTCTAGCATGTACTTGTGATGTGTGTCTCTGACATCTTAAAAAATAAAAAATTATACGCGTCCAGACACAGCAAGTACAAACAAACATAATTTGCTAGTTTCACTTTGAAGCACCGACAAGCAATGGATTGCGTTCGTCAGCGTTCATTTACACTCTTTGACGCTTGTAACCCCATCGAGACATAAAAAAGCGTCTGTTGTTTTGGGTGTGTTTATGTTCGTTCGTTAGGTATCGACGTGACATTATAGAGAGGTTATTTTTAATTACACTTCACCCTCACCCTCTCAGTGATCATCGTCCAAACTTATTTGCCTTAACAAACTATGTGACTCAATAACCATTGCCTTATCCCCACAGAAGCAGTATAATTTTAGTAAACGGGCTTTGATAATTTTTTTTGAATTTACTAAGAAACCAAGGGTAAATGATGAAAGTTGTTAAATGACAACACGGACTCTTTCTGATACGCTGAGGGGGAAAACAAATATCCCTTTTATATCTCCGAAACTAAAGTTTCAAAAAAAGTCATACTATACAAGATATTCATTTACCCAGTAGTAGTTATAAAAAGCATTTTTGGTAAACTCTGTCTCAAATAGTATTTGAAAAAAAAAATGTTAAAAGGCCGAGTAAAAAAGGAAAGAGTTCGTTAGGTGACGGCAGGTTCCACCAAAACTTACCACCTCGGGACAATGCTTACTACTCATAGTTTGGTTAGGTTAGGCAAACAAAAGGAAGGCTAAGGGTCCCATTTATTAAAAACATAGAGTTCTACAGGGTATCCCCTATCAAAGTTGGGTTTTTTGTAATGGAACACCTATATATTAATTGATTTTCTCATTCTAGAAGAAAAATAAAGGTGAGTTTCAGTAGAAAATGTGTAAACGGTAGTTGTACAATAACGGTAGTTGAATTTTGCGCTAGCATTTCGCGTGGAGCACGCTATTTGCGCTATTTGGTACTACTTTTCATGCACGAAATTGCTCCGCGAACAAAAAGTAGAATTAAATATCACATCCAAGCTTTTCGAACCAATCTTCCATAATAAAAAAATAAAATAAATACCATAAAAAATAAAAGTAACAAATCCTGTTTCGTCAAACGGGCGAGTTGACGTAGTTTGTTTGCGGTTCGTTAAGATTTGTTTTGCTAAAATTAGCATCGTTGTTGTTCATTTTTCTGTATTACATTTTATATACGACGCTTTCTATTAATTTAATTATAGAAATATTATTACCTTTTTGTTAGAATGTAAAATTTTTCAAGACAAGAAATTTCAAGAGTCTTGCAAGACAAGACAAGACTTTGCC